CCACCAAGGAAGAATACTCTGCATTAGTCTGGACTTGCAGAGAGCAAACCAGGAAAGCCAAGGCTGAGACTGAACTCCAGTTAGCTACAAATATCAAGGAAAATAAAAAGTCCTTTTTTAAATATGTGGGGAGCCAGAGGAAAAGCAAGGGCAACATTGGACCCCTGCTAAACCAGATGGGGCAACTGACAACCAATGCCCATGAAAAAGCCAACTTGTTAAATGGGTACTTTGCGTCAGTTTTTCACCAGTCCCCTGGGACGCCCCTGCCCACTGTAGGTCAGGGAGGGCCGGGTGAGGGAGAGTCCTTGCCCTCCATCGAAGCTGACCTCATGAAGGAACACCTTGACAGGCTGGATACCTTCAAGTCAGCCGGCCCTGACAGTTTACACCCAAGGGTACTCAAGGAGCTGGTGAGCATCATAGCCCAGCCCCTGGCACAGATCTTCAAGAGCTCCTGGCGCTCTGGTCAAGTGCCCAAAGACTGGAAGAAGGCCGATGTGGTGCCTATCTTCAAGAAAGGAAGGAAAATGGATCCAGCAAACTACAGGCCCATCAGCCTGACCTCTATCCCGGGGAAGGTCTTGGAAAAGATTATCAAAGAGGCCATCCTTAACAGACTAGCTGAAAGCAATATCCTGAGGGATACCCAGCACTGGTTTGTTGCAGGTAGGTCTTGCTTGACCAATCTCATCTCCTTTTACAACCAGGTGTCCTATCACCTGGACAGGGTGGAAGAGATTGACATCATATACCATGACTTTAAAAAAGCCTTCGATCTGGTATCCCAATATCACCTCTTGGCAAAACTGGATAACTGTGGCCTTGAGCTCACCATGATCCGCTGGCTGGGAATTGGCTCCGTGGTAGGACCCAGAGGGTGGTGGTTGATGGCAGCCAGTCGTCGTGGTGCGTGGTGACCAGTGGGGTCCCACAAGGCTCTGTCCTAGGGCCTATACTATTTAACATCTTCATCAATGATGTGGACTTTGGTGTTAGAAGCGGGCTCGCCAAGTTTGCAGATGACACCAAACTCTGGGGTAAAACATCCACACCTGAGGATGGGAGGGTGATCCAGGCAGATCTTGACAGGCTCATGAAATGGGTGGACGAGAACCTGATGGTGTTTAACACTGAAAAATGCAAGGTTCCCCACCTTGGGAGGAAAAAACCCTGCAGCATCCTTTTAGGCTCAGCAGTGCTACGCTGGTTAGCACTGTGGAAGAAAGAGACTTGGGGGTCATGATTGACCACAAGATGAACATGAGCCTGCAATGTGATGCTGCAGCTAGTAAAGCAACCAAAACGCTTGCTTGCATCCATAGATGCTTCTCAAGTAAATCCCGGGACGTCATTATCCCCTTGTACTTGGCCTTGGTGAGGCCACAGCTGGAGTACTGCGTCCAGTTTTAGGCTCCACAAGTCAAAAAGGATGTGGAAAAGCTTGAGAGAGTCCAGATGAGAGCCATGCACATGATCAGAGGTCAGGAAGACAGACCTTATGATGAGAGGCTGAGAGCCATGGGGCTACTCAGCCTGGAAAAGCGCAGGCTCAGGGGTGATCTGGTGGCCACCTATAAGTTAATCAGGGGTGACCACCAGTATCTGGGGGAACATCTGTTCACCAGAGCGCCCCAAGGGTTGACAAGATTGAATGGTCACAAACTCCTCTGTGACTGTTTCAGGCTGGACATAAGGAAGAACTTCTTTACTGTCCAAGCCCCCAAGGTTTGGAATAGACTGCCGCTGGAGGCGGTTAAAGCACCCACTTTGAACGCCTTCAAGACACATTTGGATGCTTATGTTGCTGGGAACCTATGATCCCCACTGACTTCCTGCCCCTGGGGCGGGGGGCTGGACTCAGTGGTCCTCCAGGGTCTCTTCCAGCCTGAATGTCTATGAATCTATGAATCTATAAGGACAGGAGATTTCTAAGGAGGGGCACTGCAGAGAAAAAGTTGCAACAGAAATAAAAAAGCTGAGTAGAGGAGGAAGTTATACTATAATTAATTAAAGTAAATGTGTTCAAGGCAGAAGGGAAGGAGATGCAAGAAAGAAATTGGAAGGAAACTAGTGAAATGAACAGAAACTGTTCTACTGACTTCTGAGAGAACAGAAATAGCTCTCCCTTTGCCCTCCCACCTGGAAGATTTGTACACAAAAAAGAGTCAGTAGAAGGGGGTTTGGAGAGAAACATTCAAATGTAAAGTTAGAGAACAAGAAGGTAGAGACCTTGTATAAGAAATTATGTATAAGCAAATTGAGCAAATAAAAAGGAGTGCAGGGAAGACAAGTATAAAAGGATATGGGTTAAACTTGTTGCTAACATTTAAGAGATGCAATGACTCTTGTTCAGGCAAAATGATTAGTTGCAAGGTCAAGGCCATGGCAAAAGAGTTGTGTCCTCAGGCAAGTCTGGAAGTGATCTAAACTAGATCCTTCTCCCAGTGAAGAAAGATGAAACTCCTATTGACCTCAGGTGTTCAGGATTGGGCTCCTACTTACTTGACATGTCAGTGCATTCAATGACTTACAAACACCAAGCAATAATGAAAGCCCTAGTGTCTGTTGACATCATACAGTGCTCAGAGCTAGAACATTTATTTCCAAGCAGTTAAAGTCTGGTCATGGTCATCAACATTATTCTGATGAACCATGGCATGACTCCTCGAGAGGTGTAAAATTCAGTCCTACCCTGACTCATGACATACCTATGTACCACTTGTTTAAACTCTCACAATAAGGTCATGGGGTGCAACAAAAAGGTGAATTTCACCCAATGCACAGCCTAAATCTGTTCCAGTGAACTTGCTTCCATAACCAAGTTTTATTCAAGTCAACACTGCAGAGCTGATGTAGCCATTGAACCACTATGTAGATTCTGATTTTCCTTTGCTTGTTTCCCTTGGGACACTTGCCAGATATGCTGCCCTAATCTAGGTTGTTTGTAGCGATGTACCAATCTAAAAGATCAGAGTCTCAGATGATTTCTAGGCTGAAGTTTCAAGTGCTATGGCAGATTTGTACCTTGATTTCACTTACAACCAGGCCCTTTTAGGCCTCTTTAAATTGCTTCATCAGGAGGGGTTATGCATGCATTCAAGATTAATTTGTTTCAAAATGTGTGATTTTCACAGCAGACATATTGACTCTTAAATCAGATGAAGCAAGCAATTAGTGCTAGTCAAACTATGCTTTTATTGACTTAAAGTGCTTACATTCATTTCAGAAACAGCAAATCGGCAAATTCCCTTAAGAAATCCATCACTGCTAGTGTTCCAGTGTGTGCTTTTATGCTCTTGGTGGTGTAGATTAGAAATGAACTGTGTCTAAACTAAAGAACATTTAACTCCAGTATTCCCCTTTGAACTTAGTTGCCTTGGGGCATATAACAAGAGAACAGAACAAACTTCTCTCCATATTCTGGGGTTACTTGGAAGTCTATTATAACAATTGGTTTATAGATGTGTATGATAATATGCCATTTCCCTAACATTTAACAGATTGTCTTGCCAACCAAGAAAGGGCAAAAGCTTCTTTATTCAGTCTGAAAGCACTTGCTTTTTTATCTGATAAAATCTCAGCTGGAAGTTTCATTCTTTACAGCATGAGCTAAAAGTTCAGTAGTTTACAATGCAGTTTTTTTTTTCTGCTGAGCTGTTTCTGTTCTAATTGCAGGGCCTGATCTTGTGAACACGAACAATTAAGTGAAATGCTTACTACTATAATTTGTCCCAGTTGAGTTGATAGGGACTGCTCACAGCAGTAAGAGTCCTATCCACTCTTTGCCAAAGCTATTGGATAGACCCTCCATTTGATTCAATGAACTGGGGGCTTGCTGCACCTTAGAATTATGCTCAGATTTTTTTTTAATCTGAGCAAGGCATTAAACATTGTGATCCAAAATAATTCGTGTACACACACGCATGCACACCGCAATTCCTACCTGTATCTAGCAGAAGCTTCACAATCAGAAAGTTGGAGTGGGAAACGCTGTAATGAAGAGCAGTATTCCCATTTCCATCAGCCAGGTTTACAATCCTCTTCAGTAACTGGGGATCAATCGCCTGGAATTCCCTGAGATACACTGCAACAATCTCTGGGCTGGAGGATTTCCTGCTTGACACCCTGAACCACTCTTGACAGACAGAATTGAAGACATGTCTCTAAAACACAAACAATTCACAGATACTTATAGGACTTTACTTCTCATTTAGTTTTAGCAAGGGTGCAGAGGCCTGACTGAGGGACTGGTTGGTCTCCTACTGATAGTTCATTGGCAGAGCTGAGATTTTTACTCTGTGGCTAGTAAACAAAACTTTGCATTTGCTGATAAATGTGTAGGTGGTTTGTGTTGGTAAAGAAAATATAAAAACACGCTGTAAAAGCAGCAGTAGTTGCTTGTTGGATACCATTTTTCTTTTAATTAAAAATGGCATCCATAAAGGGAATGATTGTAAATAGCTCTAAACTTTATTAGAGTGAGGTTTGCTACGTGGAAAATTTGCTTCTGATGAGCCAGTTATCCGTCTACTTTAATTCAATCAGCAATTATATTTATTGAGGCAACAGTGGACACAAATCTGAGCTCAAGACTTGTACACTGTTTTTATGTACCACAGCAGCTGTGCTTTTTTTTATAATGACAGGAGTTAGTCTATGCTGATCCAACATCTCTTCCCAAATAGTTGGGCAAACAGGTTGGTTTTCAAAACAAAATAGCATCCCCAAAGGCTCTACAAACTCAGGGCTAAACTGTGACTTTCCACCACCCTTATGTAGGAGGTAGTGCATTGCCCAAAAGTCGCCTGGGCTCTATGTAGTATAATTCAGTCATAGTCTGACCCCTGGACACCTCCACATCCCAATATAGAGCAATGAATATTCTTCGCCAGTATATCTGCATTGCCTACTATTTAGGGGTGCTCTCTACTCTACCATGATTCTGCCTATTCCCAGTTCCTGCCTGAATGGGGCAGAGAGCTGCATCTGTGGGGAGGGTGTTTTCTTCCAGGTGCTGCTACCCAACATATGGGTAACTGGCACAGGGGAATAAGGAAGTGCCTTATTCCAACTTAGGGCAAGCCAGAAGGGAAGTCATATAGACCTCAGGTTCACCTTCAACAAAATAAGCCCCGTCCACCCACTGCTATGGGTTCACCCCAGAGACTGCAGTTAGGCTGAGCAGGCAGGCTGGAGTAGCCCCAAGCACATGCTACAGGGCTACCCTCAAGCACCTGAGGTGGAAATGGACACTCGGGTTTGTTCCAGACCACTGGAGCTGCTCCTGAACTATCCATTTGCCCTTCTCTCCAGTTCTGGTGTGTCCCAGCAGAAGCAGGTGAGCAGGGCTCATTTTATCTTATGGTGGTAGCCATGGGATCAGGTGGAAACCTATACAGAACGAGGTGTCAAACACACAGCCTGAAGGCCACTGGATGTGGGGGTTGTGACCTGCTGCAGAATTTAGGTGCATTTGGCCCTGCTGGCAGCAAGCTTCCCCTGAGCCCAGTGCTGCTGCCAGACCCCTCCCACGGCCAGCAGACCCCTCACCACAGACTTCTTGCCACCTCTGGACCCACTGTTGCCACCACCTCCAGACCCCTTGCTACCTCTGGACCTCTACTGACGTGGCGGCCTCAGGAGCTACACCCCTGCCCCAGGCTGGATCCAGCCCACAAACAGCCCCATAGTCTAGATCCAGGCCAGGGTCCCAAATGAGCTTGACCCCCCTGATATAGACCTATCTTTACTAACAGTGCAGTCCCAAAGGAGAAGAGAAAATAGAGCCTTCTGCTATGTGTCTGTGGAACAATAAATAATACCTTGGTTACATATAAATAGGGAAGAAATTTCCTAGTGAAACTTTTTTCCCTTCTCTAAATGATGAAGCCCTCCTGTGTGAAAAGAAGGGTTCGGTGTGTGCTCTGCTCATTAGGCACTCCCGGGTGCAACTTTTCTCCACTCAATGAGTAAAAACTTCCAAATAAGCAAAAACTAATGATGCATCGGCTGCTTCTTCCCAGCTAGTCAGCATAATCAATTAGTCAATTTTAGACTCTCTTGCACTATATATGAAGACTGAGCAGCCATGGTTTTTACAAGGATTGTGTGCCTTCCCCACTCTAGCCTTGCCTAGAGAGATGGTCTATATGAAACCCAGGCCCCTGCTAAACCATCAGTTGTTTAGTTAGGGAGGGAAGATAGATCCCATTTAGCCTCTTTATTCTTTCCCAGCATTGCAGTTCTTGAAGTCAGACCTGGAGTCTCTCTTGCACTGAGAGCTGCTTGACACAGTGCAGTGAGGAAATCGTCCTATATCCTGCCATCCACTGCCTTGCTGTTACCTATATAACATGCAGGACGGGGTTTGCATGGGTGGGTGCTACTTTGGTCTCCTTATGGTTTAGAACAGGGCAACATTTTCCAATGACAACCCAAAATGACCCAGGTCAGGTTGGGTCTGAGATGAACTGGCGCTAGGACCAAGCCACTTATGCTGCTTCTCCTTGCTATGGTGCATCTTGGGCACAGCCCCTTTCCCTTCCCTGACTCCCACCCCTCCCTGAGCTGAAGCCACGTCTCTGTGGACTGGGTCCAAAGGCTCTGGGGCCAGATCTGTCACATAAGCCATAGGTTGTGAACCCCTGATTTAAAACAAGGAAAAGATTTTTTAAGCGGGGTGGGGAAGGAGTTCATTAGGTTTGAGACTGACATGAGTGAACAGAAACTTAGAAGAAGAGAGAGCACTTTCTAGAGGCCATGAATCTAAAACCAAAATCCTGGGAGTCAGCTTGGCCCATTTCTCCTTATGAAGCCATCCAACATGTGGTATAATAACCCTGCACTGCACCATCCGGATAGTGAGCTATAGGACTGGCAGGGGAGGATTAGAGTTTGAATCCAGTTGAAAAAATACCAGTACCAAATGTTTGTCACCAGTGGTCCTTATTTCAGAAAGGTGCTTCCTCAGTAACTGGCAGCCATTAAGAAAATCTTCTGATGGCTTGTATCTAAAAAAGGAAAATATTTTTGTAAATGAATTGCAAGAGAGAGCTTTGAACAAAGATGATGAGCACATGCCTAAATGTTGATAGGATCAGGTTCCCAGGTTGTAAATTTGGATGGATTTCCTGTATATTTAAAAAAATCAACTTTAAAAAGGTTAAAAAAAATCAATTCTGTTCCTGGATCTGACAGGAAAACCACTTTATCAACAACTAAATGCCCACAAAAGTCACTGGATCCAGCCCTGAACCTGTAAGGCCCGTCGGCTGTGGGGAGAGCCTGGATAGCTGCATCTCAAATCTCTTTGTGGCCCCCCCTATGCTTCCAGGTGTTGCACAATAAACTGGTTAATTTGTGCAATTAACTAAGACCAGCTACACATGCAAAGTACCTAGTCATAGAAATCATACAGAAGTATGGCTGGAAGGGACCTCCAGAGGTCATCTAGTCCAACCTCCTGCCTGAGGCAGGATCATCCTTATCCAAACCATCTCATGCAAGTATAATCTAAACACTATGTAAGACTACCCTCAACCCTGACAAAACATAGACCTAAACACCCGAACTTGCCACAGGTGAAGCAGGGGAACCACAACAGCCAATGCCCTGCTTCTATAAAATGTTGTCAATATATTCTTAAGAAGTCCCGGGTAGAGGACCATGCTTTCTCCCCCCACCCCGCAGCAGAGAAAGGCAAACCCCCCCCAGCTCATACCAATCTGAGCATGGGTAAAATTCCTTCCTGACCACAAATATGATGATTAGTCTGACCCCGAGTGGAGAGGCAAGACCCTCGAGCCAGGAACCTCCAACTGTTCTCCTAGCAGAAGAATTGGCACATCCTGGCCTTAGCTATAGCCAACACCCAGAGCCTCTGGGGAGGATTAAAAACACCCTGACACACAGAAAAAAAGGGAGGGGGTTGGAGCAACCAGCAAAGCCTAGAAGCATAGGAAATGCCCATGGTAGAAAATAGACATAATGATGCCTAAACCATCCCCAACCAGTGGCTGTCCAACCTCTTCTTGGACACCTCCAGTGAGAGAGTCCACAACTTGCCTAGGCATCTATTCCACTGCCTCACTGTTCTCACAGTGAAGACATTTTTCTGGATATCCAATCTAGACTTACTTTCCTGAAACTTCAAGCCATTGGTCTCCGTCCTCTTCTCTGCAGCAAAAGAGAAAACGTGCTTTCCCTCTTCTTTATGGCAGCCCTTCAAGCATTTGAAGACTGCTATCATGTCCCCACTTAAGCACCTTTTCCGCCAGCTGACCATGCGCACCTCCTTCAGCTCCTCCTCGTATGACTTGCCTTCCAAGCCCTTCATTATTTTTGTTTCCTGCCTCTGGACCGTCTCTAGCTTCTCCGTGTCCTTTTTAAAATGTGGAGCCCAGAACTGCTAGAAAGTACTCCAGCTGAGTACTTTCAGGGCCAAGTAGAGAGGTACTATCACCTCCTGGGTCTTGCACCTAACGCTTCTGTTGATGCAGCCCAAAACCACATTGGCCTTTTCTGCGGCTCCATCACACTGCATGCTCATACTGAGTCTGGTCTACCAAGATGCACAACTCCTTTTCCAAAGAGCTGCCATCCAGCCAGGTGTCCCCCATTTTGTATTTGCATTTTTTTATTATTCCTCCTGAAGTACAGCACCTTGCATTTATCTGCACTGAACTTCTGATATGGACCCTTTGCTTACGGCTATTGACCAAGTTATCGACCCACCTTATAGCAGCTATATCCAGACTACTTTTCTCCAATTTGTTTATGAAAAGGTCATGTGGGACCTTGTCAAAAGCCTTGCTGAAGTCCAGATATACTATATCCACAACATTCCCTTCATCCACCCAAGTAGTTGCTTTGTCAAAGAAGTAGATCAGATTTGTCTGACACTATTTGTTTTTCATAAGTCCATGCTGGCTGCTTGCAATCGGCCTTTTATCCTCCAGATGCTTGCAAATAGCCTTCCTTAGGATCTGTTCCAGTAACTTGCCAGGTATTGGGGTGAGGTTAACAGTCTGTAGTTTCCCAGCTGCTCCTTCTTGCCTTTTTTAAAGAGGGGCACTACACTGGCCCTTTTCCAATCCTCTGGTACCTGGCCCATCTCCCACAGCTTCATGAAGAGCTTTGCCAAGGGCTCTGAGAACTCCTCTACCAGTTCCTTCAGGGACTTGGGGATGAAGCTTATCTGGCCCTGCTGACTTGAATTCATTCAGACCCAACAAAAGCTCTCTGACCATCTCTCATCTCCTCCCTCAACTAGCCCCCTTCCTTAACCAGCAAATCCCTATTACGTGTCTGGCAGCTTCATTTATTTGGTGAAGACTGAGGCAAAGTAGCTGCTGAGTAGCTCTGCCTTCTTTGCATCTTTGGTTAGGAGTTCCCCCTGGCTTAACAGAGGATGCACAGCCTCCTTGGTCCTTCTTTTCTGGCCAACATACTTAAAAAACTTCTTGCTGTCCTTAACTTCCTTTGCCAGGTGCAGCTCCTTCTTTATCCTTGCCTTCCTGATTTTGTCCCTGTATGCTCTTGCTATTCCCTGGTATGCATCCTTGGTACCAACGGGCTTCCAATACTGTGCCCCTTAGAACCTCCCAGCCCTTCTGGGTGTCTTGATCCTTCAATCTATCATCCCATGACACCAAGCCTATTATAATGCTCCTCATCACATCATAAAAAGGTCCATCCAGCTACAAAGTTAAACCCTGAAAATGTGCAATAATATTACAGCTGGTGTGTCCAGCTTCAATTTGCATGTGTAGCAGGGTCCTCCCTGTGGCCAGGAGCCCCCTCAGCTACCTGGGCTCCCAGCCACAGGGGTGCACCGTGCCCAGCCAGGGCTGGAAGTCCCACAGCTGAGCAGACTTTCAGCCCTGGCAGTGCTCAGCAGCTGCACACTGTGGGTGCCAACAGCACTCCATAGCTGCCAGGACCCAGAGTCTCACAGCTGCGGAAGTGGGATCCTGGCAGCACCCTGTGGTACCAGTGACTCAACATCCTGCAGCTGTGGATGCTGGGTCCTGGCAGCCACGTGGCACAGCTGCTATCTCCCAGGTGCGGGGGTGTGTGAAACACTTCTGAAGCTGGGAGATTGCAGCAACTGGGAGGGGGGTGCTCCACAAATCCCTGTGGCTGGACGACCAAAGTAGGTGCAATCTCCCACCCGCCGGGGGAGGGCTGGCTCCACAGCTGGGAGATCACAGCAGCTGCAGGACCAGGCTCCCCCAGCACCAGCAATAAGGCACATGGGATCTAATGCGCGATCCCATGCACATGCCTCCTGCCATGCACATGTGGCATGGCAGGATGTGCAATTGTGTGGATCATGCATTGGATCCCATCGCACCTTCACCTGCACAGGTAGAGGGGCCCTGTGAAACATAATAAACAGGGCATGGGACAGGAGATCAATAGTGATTTTTACAGTCTAGATCTAATGTTTAAATGCACAGTTTTGAAAAGCAGCATGTAGGAGACATTTGACTGTAACATGCATTTTGCCAGGGCATCCTGATAAATGCCATAATGATTGAAAGCACTGTTTACATAATTTGAGTTATTTTTCTTCACCCCCACCCACAAAAGCCTCTACCCCACAGGTAGCAACAGCATTATGAGATCCTAAAATGAAGCCATAAGTCTATTAACTTGCTCTATGTATATAATTATGGTAACCTGGCCCAGGGATGGCCAACCTGCAGGGCTGGTGCCACAAGTGGCACAGACAGTCTCTCTGTGTGGCACATGGCAGACTGGGGAGGGAGCTGGGAGCAGAAAGCAAAGTAGCAGCTTGGGCAGGAAACACAGGGAAAGAAGCAGACTAGCAGACTGAGGAAGGACAAGGGATGACAGTGGCACTTGGGGATGGTGAGGGGTTAATTTGTGGCACACCTGCCAAAAAGGTTGGCTCCCGCTGACCTCATCAGACAGGCACTGAATGTCTTGTAATCAGGCAATAGCAGCGTTTCTCTCTTTCCACACACATTATTACTTTTGCTGACAGCAGACAGGCTGGCCTTTTCACTTAAACTCAGAACAAAAATCACTGTTGTTCAAAGGCAGCAAACTAGAGCATTAGCTTGTTTGTCTGGTTACCTGTCAGTCTTGTGCTGAGTGCTGGCCATTGTTGGGTCTTCTCTTTCCTGCAGCTCTTCATCTTCATGATCTTCATGTCTCGTGCACTGGGGGATTCCAGGTGACGCGCAGGCACGGTCGTCGGCAGCTCTCACCTGTCTGTGCGCTACACTCTCATATTTTCTCTCTGTCTCGCAGTCAGAATTTCCTTCTGATGAGCTGTCTTCGCAGCTTGTGTCTTCACTTGAAGTCGTTTCATAACTAATTGAGGACACCATATATTACTCACATTTCCTTCCCCCTTAATGATTATAAGGTCGTAGCCAATGCCCACTGAACCCACACCTTGACTCCGATGGGCTCTGGATAAGACCCACAGTGACTTCTGTGTTGGACACCATAGAAGCAGGTCAAAAGACAAGAGCGGCACCAAACCCACCTGAGCTCCTGCCAGAATTTGGGGGTGCATTGCCACTCTCATTTCCCAAGTATCGCTCTATATGAGCAAGAGTTTCAGGATCTTATTTATTGAACAGCAACAATTTCAGAGGATAGGGGGAGGATTATTTTTGTTTTTAGCCAATTATTATTTAACGCAAAATGTACAAATGGTTCAGAGATCGTGGGCCAGGTTCCACAGTCAGGCTCCTCCTTGCCTGCTTTCTTGCTGGCCCATGACATCTTGGGCCACACTGAGGCAAAGTTTGTCAGGAGGTCTAGAGAGGATCTACTGGGGAGGGCACTCTCCTGGGAAGCAGAGGGCTTGGGCTTGAATCCTCTCATGCTGAGGATGGAATTGAACCCGTCTCCCACACCCTGGGCATGTGATCTAATCACAGGGCTAAGGTGTAAAAGGTGGGTATCACTATCTCCATCACCAGCAGATATGTTTTTAAAAAATCAACTATGACTGCTGAAGATCCCAATGCTGTTGGTGTGTACAAGACATGCTCAGAGTGCATCTACCTAATCTAGCAACCCAAGGGGTTTAGACTTCACTCTACCAGTTTCTAAATCCCAGTCAGGCTTAGATGGGCATTAGATGCCTAGCAGGTGCTCAGACTGAGGCTATTTTGGACACATGAACAACTCAGAACTGCAGCTGCTTAAGGATCATTTTGGGCCAAAAGGAAGGAACTTCCAGGGTTAGGCAGCCATCAAGCAGGGGGGTTGGATTGGATTGCAGAAATATTCCAAATCCTGGAATGGGATTTCAGCAGATTTTAGCTACCCAGGTCCCTTCTGGATCTGGCGTTGGGACTCCAAGGGGATGATAATGAAAAGATGGGGTCTCGGTCCTGTTCTTAGAGAACAAGTGTTTGTACAACACTCAACATCATAGTTAGCACTTTTAGGTGTCCCTATACATGCTCTGGGGTGAGGGGGCGCTTTAATTAGAGCCGCTCTAACTAAAGCACCTGCAGCATGGTGTGTATTCAGCAGTGAGGGTGTTTTAACTAAAGCTTGTTCAATGAGCTTCAGTTAAAGTGCCCCCACTGCCATTTTACAATGCGGGGATGCTGAATACATGTGAAGCAGAGGCTGCCGGAGCGCACTAATTAGGACAGTCCAGCAGACTTGCAGCAGACTATTAATGAAGTCTGCTTTGATGCATGCCAATTAACATGTGTTGGAGCAGAGGTCCGTCATGCATATAGGTCCGTCTCTGTTATTCGTCTTGAATGAACTGACATAAATTTAAGTTCCTCCAGCCCAATATTGAGGAACTTTAGATGGCAGGATGTGGAAGTTTGCAATGCAGATGTCCATGCAGTACAGGACTGATCCAAAACCAGTTGACGTCAATGAAAAAACTAAACTGGGCTTTGTATTAGGCCCTGAGGGATTTGTGTAAAGAGGGCCTCAGTCTTCAGGGATGTTACGTCAGTGCCACTCATTATCGTTGTAAGAGTACTGATGTCCCAGGCTCTCTGATCAGCTTTTACTGGAAAATTATTGATGTTAAATTGAAGAAGGGATAAAAGAGGCTCTATTTTGAATGAGCTTTTAATCAAAGATTTGAAAAAGAAAAATCTTATTTCCTGAGTGATACAGCTGGTGATGACAACGTATATGCTAATATGCCGTTTTAGTTTCTTAAATGATGCTTACCCACCATTAACCCCAACAAACTGCAGGTTCTTTTTGGTTCCATTACCTCCTGCATGGAAACCGTGACCTTTCTTTTTCATGATAGATTTAAGACTTGTGGTTGGAGAGAGATCTAGCAAAATATAAAATCACAGATTAAGAAAGTATAGAACGATTATTCTCTACCTTATCAATATGCCTGTAACAAGCTATAGCTCGTAAGCAGAAACATGTTAATTGCCCATTTTATAGAACTGCGGATGTATCTGTATGTAGTCTCAAGCTGGGCCATTAAAAAACCCCACAAAAAACAAAACAAAACAAAACAAAAAAGATCTAACAGGCATCTCCACGGGAACATTAACGTATGGTAAGCAACTGACACCTATACATGTTCTCCCAGCGTAGCTAGACTTTACTGCTGTAGTGCCGTTCTGCTCTGACTCCTTAGAAATAGGTCTTTTTGCACTTTTGATACTATTAAAATCCATGTCTAGTGCGCTCAGGAACACCCTGCTTCGGTCTCTTGTGGGGCTGTATAGGAATGGGGTCACTGCGGCACAATCCACCTTCCCTCCTGTTGTACTCCTAGGAAAAGGGGGGCCAGGTTTTCACCTACAAAGCCTCTTTATATCACTCTGACTGAACAGTGTCACTTTCCTGATCCCAGAAGAATAAAATCACTTCACTTCCCCTTCTTTATTTATTGCTTCTAAATGGGACAAGCTTTTTATAAAGACTGTGGGCTGCGTAAATGCAGATTTTTCATGGGTTGTATACATTTACGTAGCTCCACTGAGTTTGT